TTTCTTAATTCAATCGACTCAGCTCAAAGCTTAGTCATTCATAGCTTCAATAAGGACTTTGCCGCGTTTGATAGTGGTCTTGAAGCGACCTTACCTGGTTTTACGGAGCAAAATATTTTTTCGGTTTTCAACCAGTTATCTTAGCAAAACTTTCAAAGGTTATGCAGCCAGATTCAGAAAGATTGTTAACTGTTCGAATATCGCGCTCCGTTAGAATAATGATGAATACTCACTACTTACTTGTCAGGATAACGAAATGACATGCATATAAAGTGTCCCAGCCGTTTTCATGCTTTATGTGAAACACCATTCACCTGTACGCCTGAGATAGGCTATTGCAAAGAGAAATGAGTATGCTCAAACACACTGAATCAGATAGATCCTGATTACATAAACAAAACGTATTTCAAATATGGTCACACCACTGTTTCTTCATAACGGTACAAGAAATCGGCTATCGTCGTTGAGAAATATAGCCAGGTGAAGTCATTCCAGTATATCTCTTCCAGTCGAACTGAATGATGTGAGCAGATTGATAAAAACTGGAAATCACGATACGACTATCAAAACTGACACAATACAATTATAAGTAGTAGTTTTCATTATTTCTGTGTAGAAATAGTATTAGTATTATAAAAGGTTTCTTCTCTGGCTGTTGTAATTTGCACATCGGAATGTGAAGATAATGAGCACCTGTGACCTTGAGAGGGATCGTAGTGACAGTTGAAAAATCATACGAGAAAAATAAAAATAGAAGAGTAACAAAATTTATAACAATAATAATAATAATAATGGTAACAATGAAACCAACTCCACCTAATTGTCATGCCTCAAACTAGAAATTCTCATTAATCTGTAATGTGAAGTAAGTTTGGCGTGAGCAGAAGAATAAAGAGTGGAAAATGGAAACTTCTGATTCTGAGAGTACGCACTCTCAGAATGAGGGCGGAAATACCATTCAAGGTGCTTTCACTCATCCTTCTGCTATGTGAGTGTATAATGCATTGGATGGAGGTAACTTGCTATTCTCTTTCGTCCACCTGAATTTAATAATGTTACTTGAATTGAAGTTTTACACTATGTGGTGAGGAATAGTTGACTTCGGTTACATTTGAGTAGGACAGATTAGTTGAAGTGAACTGTCTGTCAGTGGCTATGACGTTTCTCGGAGAAAGGATGTATAGCGAATATAGAAATCGGAATTTGACTGTCATCAAGTCACACAGTGCAATATATTTTGATGATATTAAGAACAAAATTTTAGCTGATAACCCCATCAAGGTACTCACAGAGCTTATATGCTTCGTTTGTGCATATGAGTCAAAAGTATTTCGATATTAGAATAAATTCAATAGAAGCATTGCGTGAAACAGAAGGCGAGCTGGAGTTCATTCGTACGGATATGTAATATCAATCAAACTAATTACGATGGTTGATCCACATGATCTGAACATATTTTCGTTACACGTTGTTCTTTAAAGGTATAAATACATGCATATTGATTATGCAACATTCTTTCTTCACTAAGGCAGTTTTAATTTGAATTTTAGGACGTTGAATATTCCTATGTGTAACATCTTCCACATTAGATATCTTCTTCTGATGGCACTTCAGATTTCAGTCGTTGACAGTATATACACACACCGGAACCATCTATTGATAGCGGGCGTTTCGTCGAGCTTTTTCTAGTCGAGTTGAGATAGGATTTATTTTTACAAACTGATTCTATTATGATATATGTTAAAGTTCCATTGGTGGTGTTTTTCGTGGTTGTTTGTGCAACATGCCTTCTCAAGGGTAATTTCCACTACAAATGAGCATGTGTATATTGAAATGTTTGCCTATTTGTCCTTCTGCGATAACCTGCATCGGTTAATGTTAGATTTACGGTAATTTCTACAATAATTTCAAAATAGGGTGATCAATGCAAAAGGATAGCATTGCAATAAATCTAGCACTGTTATCAGTACATAATCATATCTACAAGATGAAATTCCTTTTGTTCTACGCTACAAGACAAAAATTACTGGGAGAGGAGGAGGCGTTGAAAATGTTTGTAAGATTAAGACAAAAAACGTCAGCTCATCTTCTAAAGTAAACAGCTGATGCACCGTCCGCTTGTGAGCTTTTTGAATGTTTCAGATATTTCAGACATTTGAGAACATCAGGAGTTTTCACACCAAAATAATCAACATCTCAGATTTTCCCACCATTTTCTTCGACATTTTCTTCTTGTTATGTAATATTAGAACGCACACACTGTGTGAGTGTTTCATTCCATTCGGTAAATAATACTGCACAACGCAGTGAAACTGTATCGAATCAATTCACTTCATGGTGGAATTAGCTTCCAGTGTCTTAATTGAAGTAGATTTGTTAGTTTCAATACTGGAATTCAATAATGAAAAGTAAATCGTGTGTGGAAAGAGAACGTCATTTTAGTGACCGGTTAGCTTGCCTCAATGACACATGAAATGCATCTAGCTGAATCTGCAAGTGTTTATTGCTACGCTGGAGCATGTAATGCCAGATTGCTTCAGTGCACATCAGTGATACGCCAACCATAATGTCATATCATCTGGAAGTAGCATTTTCACAAATCTCTAAAGAATAGATGAAACTCAGATAGTTGAAAAGTCAAGTATTTCATTCTCCTTTCTTCGAACGTATACATGGATGACGTGATTGTCCATCAAAGATGAAATGAGTAGATGTGCCTTCCGTTGAATATTCCAGTAACTCCACCATTGAAGCAAAGGAATGATACAAGTGTTCCGCATACTGTAACCCGCAACTCATTTTCAAATTTCCACATAGCGAACTGGACTGAGTGCTGATGAAATAGTAGTACGGGAGGAGAAAGTCCGATGAGATGTTTGCCACTCGACGTCATCTCTCGCGAAGACGTCACTTCAAGTTGTCTATCGAAGAACATGCCTAGTGCGCAGAGATTCGCTCTGATGTTCTTTGCAGATGTGATGTAGTGACACGAGACCAGTGGATGAGGCTGTTAAGCTGAATAGAGTGAAATCGTTGCATCATGTCTTACCTCTACCATGACATTGCATTCCTCCTCTAGTATTTAGTGTTAGCCGATATCGAAGTAGGTTGAAAAAGATTAGGGAGCAGTCAAATAACAATGTGTCTTCATTTAGCGAGTCGCTTAACTGTTGGTTTCAGCCACGTGAGATGGTGTTGACTGTCAATTTTGGATAGTGGAGACGCTGAACATCGGTGGCCGTTTCAATCATAAATCGCTTACAAAAACTAAAAGGCATGCAACATTTATCAACTCCTGAATGAGTCACATTCTTACCATTCTTCCTCCATCAACCCTCCTCATAATCATGGTTTAGATGAAGATGTGTCGTGGTGCGTCGCTGAATTCCTATAGCCCAATCGCCACACACAAAAACAATGTAAACTATTATAGTTTTAATATTTGCTGTTTCGTCCGAGAAACGATTTTTGACTATGCTCTGGGATAAATATTGCAGAATATTAATTTGTTTTATATTTCTGTGTGAACTGTAATATGTCGAATGAGATTTACTGCAGTAAAGTCAGAGTTTACACTTGTATTCTTGGTATGTATGATGTTGCGGTTCTCAAAACCAAGTGGAAACTACAACAACTTATAAAGGAATCCTGATGGAAATCTTGAAGACGTGATGACGAGGAAAATTGCGATCACGGATTGATATCTGTTAGATTCAGCTGTCCACCAGTGATTTGGAGGCTGTGCTATTGTGATGAAGTAAGTGCTCATGCTCCATCCTTCACTGGCCTACATAAGATTGAACAAAAAGAGCGAGAGAGGAATCAGGGTGTGTTTCCTATGCTGTGTATTCTACTCAACAATAAAACAACAGTGATATTTATCGTTTTATTTGTCGAATCTTCATGAAGAAATTTAAATTTAATGTCTCAATAGTAAATTATGAAGGCGATTAACTTGTTCAGATTACCGTCCTCAGTAAACATTACTGTATAACACAGTAAAACTTTATCAAAACAAAATTTACCCATAATGGAACCAACTTCTGCAGACCTGTCAGTTTCAAAAATTTAGAAAGATTAGATGAGAGAAGTCAGAGAGAGTTTGAAGAAAGCCGTTTCATGCAGAAATGAGACTTCAACGCATCTGTTAAATGTGAGTCAATGAAAAACGAAGCGGACGTTTTCATGAGTAGAACAATAAATACCAAGGAGGAGATAGACAAGATTGTCGCGAAAGAATGTCAAGAATCCATGGGGTAATTCAAGTCAGTTGATAGTCATATAACCACTGAATGAACGCCTCGCCAGTTCACTGTTTTCATCGTCGAACAGCTATTCTCAGTAAATAATGTTTCCAATGGGGCCATGGAGTGCCAGATTATTAAGTCGCTGAAGTCGATATAGGTGAAAAATATGCCTAACCTTGTGTATTGAATCCAGTCATTCAGTCTATAACTCATCATCTCATATTCCCAATGACTGCATATTTCCACTGCAGTGAAATGACAATCCGAATAAATGTCAATCTGTCGCGTGATACCAGCGCACTCATTGCAGTATCTGATGCGATTCCGACTTGTGTCCAAACGGCTACTGTATTCACACATTCATGGCTAGTTACTGCGGAGACTCATGAATAGATTATTATTAGGAATTAACGTGAAACACCCCTGCTGAGAATATGTTAAAACGTGTTTAGTGCTGAACTGTCACGGATAAAATATCCAGCTTCATTTGCAGATTAGTAAGGCTAATTCAAATCGTCGCAAAACCAGATCACTCCCCGAATGTGATCTCCCGCTAGGCATCGCGAGTGTGCTTTCTTCATGTGGATTCCATGACATGAATTCTGCTTACTATTTGGATTGAAGTATTTCTGCAGATTGATAGATTTCATTACACCTTTCAGATTCCACTGATTCATTGTATGAATCATCCGACATTATGATACGTTGTTTCACTCACCAATCACAACACTCACAGTCTTCCACGAATGAACGATGAAATCGTGATTATTGTAATCGACCAATTAAAACATTAACTGTGACAGTTTGTTGTAGTATAAATAAGGAAACGGAAAGTCAGTTCACATAAGAAGATGGTCTACTTTGCATACAACCACATAGCCTTTGTCACTCTGTTGGCATTAGCAGCCATGAACGCAGGTAAGCATTTCTTCAGAATATGGTATGTTTGTGGTTTATTTCCGTGCAAAATATCTGCCTTATTCGTTATGACTGCTGAATATTTTGCCAGTTACTCTCACGGGTCATTCTCTCTGGTTAAGCCTTCACTCTAAAACTGTCACTTTTGCGTACGCTTTCATCCCGAATTCATCTCATGTGGTAGATGGTGACCGGCAGCATAACCTCCGAGACGTCCTTCATCTTAATTCTGATTCAGAAACTGTGTATGTTAACAGTTGCACAGTGACATGTTCTCTCATTTGGCTAATGTGTCAGGCTAAAATTTCCCAAAATTTAAATGGCCTGAGTACGCATTTTGAGATGATGTGTTTCTGCTCTAAAATGGCACATATAAAGCTTCGAGAGCAGTTTGACGAATTTCAAGTAAATATTCCACTTTAGTTTGTTCAACACCAGTAGGATGTATGGCGATGTAAAAATTCATAAATCAGGATACCATATTAGGCCTATAGTAGATTTTAGAAATTCACCCGCCTATGAATTATCTAAATATTTAGCCATGGTATTAAATCCCCTAAAGATCCACTCAAAATCTAGACTTACTAATTCTTATTCGCTAAAACACAGATTAGATAATTCAAAATTAGATGATGAAGAAAAAAATGGTTAGTTTTGACATTGTCAGTTTATATACACGTATACCAATAAATATGGCTATAGAGGCGGTCAGAAACGAACTGATTTCTGACCAAAAACTCGAACTTAGAGCAAAAGTGCCACTTGAGGACATAATGCTGGGAGTGAAGTTTTGCCTAACTTCTACAGTATTTAAATTCCAAGGGAAAATATACAAACAAACTGAGGTGGTTGCCATGGGATCACCAATATCTCTAGTTGTAGCATATATATATTCATGGATAGGTGGGAAAAGATTGCGATTGAAACGTTCACCCCCACCCCAAAAGTATGGTGCAGGTATGTAGATGACACATTCACTGTACTTAGAACACAAGATATAGATAGATTTTTCGAGCATATCAACTCGAAGGTAGAGGCACTTCAATTCACTTATGAATTAGGAAGTCAGGAAGGGGGACTTCCAATGTCAGATTGCAACGTAAAAAGGAAAGAAGATGGGAAGCTAAACACTAGTGTTTACAGAAAGCCCACACATTCAAACAGATTTTTGGATTTCCGATCATACCATCCTATGTCAGTAAAAATAGGATTAGTGAAATGTTTAAATGACAGAGCACAAAAACTAAGTAGTGTCAAGGAAAATCTAAGACAGGAAGTGATACACATAAAAGAAACCTTGAAACTTAATAATTACCCGGATAAATTAGTCAAGAAATATGTAAGTAAATGTAAAAATAAAATAAATAATTATAGTAGCAATAGTGATAATAATAATAATGATAACAATAATAATGATAATAATGATGGTAATAATAATAGTGATAATGACAATATGAATGGCGACACCAACAATAAGGATTCTAAATCATCAACAGTAATTCCAAACAAGGAAGGAACCTCGAAAGCCTTACGCGGAATACTTAACAAGGCAGGCAGGAATAAAAGTGGCTGGTATTCAAACCCACAAACTCAATTAGAAAGAAGCTTTGCCTGCTAGAGGATCAATCCTGTTGAGCCTTGAAAACAACACAATTTAGTTTATCTAATACCCTGCCTGCAATGATTGTCAGGTCAAATACATAGGTCAGACTAGTAGAACAGGGACAGTCAGTCAGACTAACGGAACATAAAAACCTAGCTAAATCTAGATTGGTTGACCCAAATAAGATAAGAAATCTAGAAAATAGTTCAACTATAGCACTACATGCAATTACACACAACCATACAATAGGATGGATGGGATAGGATGACAGTTTTAAAATCTAATGTCACAGGGTGAATGGAGGGAGAGATTGATAACAGAAGCTTTGTTCATCGAATCAACGGCAAATATATGTAATAGAAACGATTCAATACCTATCCCAGATATATGGAAAATTCTACTGGCCATATGACAAATAGGAGACGACAGAGAAAACTATAAAACTCAAATCTCAAAGTCGTGTGACCACAATTGATATGATTGTGAACAATAAATTGTGTTCGAAACGTCATCCAGTGTACAGTACTGTTTCACTGTGTGATACATCTAATAAACAAACTAATATGGAATTGCTTACTACCACAGTGCCCAAGTTTTACTCATATATTCAAGTATAGAATTTGTTCTGATAATCTTCAGTTTTCTGAAACGTGTCCTCTGTATAACAACTGTTGTTCGCATTCCTTCTTTTGAATTCAAGTTCAACCGTTGAATTACCAGTTGTTGATAATGTTTATTTCCGCTGTTGATGGTAAGCACGTTTTCAATTCGTATTATTTGATTTTATCATGTGACTTGAGAATTCATCATGACAACAGTTAAAGGATAATGAAGGTCTCAGAATGATCGTTTTCACCATTGTATTCCTCAAAGTCTCGGAAAGTGATATAATATCACTAAAGACAGTGTGGAGACTGATCGGCACGGAAACAGTGGAGCAGATATACTTAAGTGAAACTCCTTCTGATGTGTTCGGATGAAAATATTTCCAATGTGCGTTATACACTTGCATTCAGTGCTCTTACTCCCTGTTTGACAATTCATGCAAAATATTCTCGTCCCTCCACAGAAAATATACGCGGATTCAAACCGATCGTGGATGGTGCAGAACAGGCAGTACAAAATCTTACGGGTGAGTGAAACATGATGCCTTATTTTACACAGTGTTGAAACCTTGACCAAAATATGCCTTGAATTGTGCTTTCGAATTTATTACTGAATACAGCCATCATGTCATTTAGTATGTAGCACACAGTAACATGAATTAAATGCACGCCTCTACATATTGTAAACATTCGACGTTTTCGCTTCTCTCTTTTCCTAGACAAGATTCTCATTCAAAATGCAAGCCTACGAGGAGAAATAGAAACATGTAAGCAGCAAGTCGAGTTTATTGGAATGATGGACGATCTATTTTAGATGTGAACTGCCTGAAAACTGCAAACAAATACATTTGGGGAGAAATCGCGTTGAACAGTGAGTTTCACTAAATTCCTTTCATTCGAAATATAATTCTATACACGAAATTTGTTCACCACATTGAGTTTTAATCATTTAAGCGATACACTCCTTGTTGATGATTTGCTTTCTCACTTATCGTTTCAACAGTTAACGCTTATACGACTGCCGGGTGATGGGATTTTGCAAATTTGTCAACTAAAAATTGATTTGAGATGCTAAATATATATAAACGTTATCTATCTTTCCTAGAACTCGCAGACCGTGTCTCCAGAGGTAAGCTAAATATTTTGAATCATTTCTGTACTCATCTTTCACCATAGTTAATTCACGTCAATTTTCTCACTGACAGTCTTCACCTGGCTTCTATTCCCGCCATACTATCTCAGCTATAACTATTTCAGTCCTACCTCTATTTTTTGACGCTAAATAAAGATGGCGAATTACGTAATGCACTGAACATGTGGAGGCGCTCGAGGACAGTTGTTCGACTGATGTATTTCTCATTTCGGATATTCTCTGACAATTTGCCAACTAGTAAATATATTTTAATCGTCTGAAATCGGATCGTATTTGTCTTTAATATGCGTAAATGTGTATTACATTGAGAAGAAGAGAAATAAGTTGATATGTGTTACACTCGTTTGTTTACAGAAAAAAACTTAAGAGCCCAGGAAATTTTGAAGTGTTGCCGACAAGAAGCCTTAGAATATTCTAGTAAGTAGCATTTTATTACGCCAACCAGTTTGAATTGTTTTGTCAGTGTGGTGTAACAATTTTCGAAATGCCATTCTCCACACCTCTATTGTAAATCTGAGTTATTTATCAAACTGTGTTTCACTCCTACTCACCCATGAATAGACAAGAAGATGGCGTTTCCTTTAGACAAGTGTTTCGAAAATCTGCCTCCAGCGCCTCACGAAGGTATTTGTTTGTTCCTTTTTTACATTCTTCATGAAATGAATAACATTTTCATAAACTCCTACAACGACGACATATTTCCACATGTCACAATATCTTCATCATGATTTGCATTCATGAACATCCACCTCTTATTGTACGATAGTCTGCGATGAGTATTTGCAGTGAGTCTGGTAATAATGTGTGAAGCAGGATGAACAAGTTCAGTGCTCATGATATGGTCAGTCATTTACAGATGCCATTGTTAAGATGATGTGATCGTGAGCAGAAACACCCACTGGAAGACAATTTGTTAAACGTGATACTGACCGAGCACTAATATAGCGCCATCACGACTAAATATTGAACATCGTGCATTCTTAGCATAATGCAAGTGGATGAGTTTGTAGAATTTGTAGTAAGTTAGTTGATCCTGTGGGCGAAACAGATTGTTTCGCGTCTTTTCATATCGCATAATTTCGAGTTCGAACGTCGTAGTATGATTGTGAGATATTTACTCTACAAGATATTCGTTCATGAATCATTTCAGATCTTAATCAACTGAATCTGCTGACCCGAACACTATACGATCACAAGCACTGGGTTGCCATGCAAGTTTGTGAGTCAATTTCTCTGTATGAATTTACTTCACAATTGCAAATTTCTATACGAAAGCGGTGTAAACGTTGTGATTTGGTTTCGAAAATAGTCAGTGCCTGCCTAATGTTAGTTATCAGACAAGCGCAGTGATGAACAACAAACCATTTCACTGTGTAATGCAAATATTTCTCAACCTGTTTTATCATTTCTAGTTTACAAGAAAATATTAGAAACAAATCTGTAACAGTTGACAGGTGAGTTTTATTTTGCATCACATTTCCACATCTTAGCATACGAAGGTCTGTTATCGGTGTAGTGACTCTAATATGAAGCGTACGAAATGTGAGACAGTGTTGAGGATGATGAATGGGCAAAGTACATTACAGGATACAGATATTCAACGCAACAGTTCGAGAATAATTTCACCGCCGAATATTCGACGATATTTCGGCTGAAATACTGTTTAATGAATGTGTGGTTCAAATGACAGCTTTGAATACTCCTGTTAAATCGAATGGTGAAAGCGTTATGAGTGTCGTTTTAGGTTACAGTGAGGACATCCATCAAAGAATAATATCGTAGCGGATCTAAATAGATGGTATGGTGAATGTATGAGAATGCATATGCGCACTTCAAAAATGTCACTGAGGCTGTGCAAGCAAGCTAGTGAAATTCATGCGACCCGTAGTGAATTATTGAAATGTATCAACTCGAATACCCCGAAAAATCGTGGATATGGCAATCATCACTCACTGAAAATATTCAGAATCCTCGGATTCTATGAACAAGCACACAGTTCACCGACAATCATCCTCCTTCTCACTATTAGTCCGTCTGTATTATTTCACCACAAATATTTCATACAATAATATTGCTGACTGATTTTATTCTCCTACAGGAAACTGAAGACAAACACCAGGATGAATGTCAAAGTCTGAATACATGTAGATTGTAGAATCTTTCGTAAATATTTCCTTTTTAATTAAATTAAATAAATAAATCACTTTTCTGCTACACCGCCTTCTCCTCATGAACTCAAACTTCATTCAACTGCTGTTTGTAATCAGGTGAGGGCTGTCGTCATCGGGAATCTGGTAATGTGAGATTGGTCATCAGGTGGCTGTTGTCACACTGTCTCTTTTTAATAGGTAGTTCGCCAGATACTTCTGTGAGTAGACAGCGTTTACGTGGCACAAATTGTCCCTTGTGTTATTCACTCACATGAACCTTGTGACAGATGTCATCGGGCCTACTGTTTTTTTATTAACAACCAATGGTAAGAAGTCATATATGCGTCACTGACTTCATCTCGATTACAATTGAGTCAATGCCTTTCGAGCAGGTGATCATGGTTAAAATGAACTTAGTGAACCAAGAGCACGTAATACACGTTTCCAAACCATTTTTAAATCAAATAAGTGGCTACATGTTATTCACTCATTCCAGTAACTAAGACGTTTGTTACAGTCATCCCCGCCATCACTCACACCAAATAGATACATCTGAATGAGGAGGCGCTGGGTGATATCTGGGTATGCTGAAATACCCAAAGCGTGCTTTTGCATAAATCTGTGTGTAACGCACAATGCAGAATCGTTGTGCTGTGATCTCAGGGGACCATTCATTGCGTCCTACTCTATGACTCTTTGAAACTTAATCGAGAGACACACAGTCAGAAAAGGCTGCAGAGTCAGCTAGAAGTCGGTTATTTGTCGTGAAGCATACGTGGTTCTGTTCGACAACAATTAATTTATCCGGAACTCAGAATTACCTCAACGTTGTCGTTAGGCAGCTATATAGCGAAGCGATATTTCAAGTAGAAAACAAGAAGCGCATTGCAAATTTAGTGAACCAGAATGCAACCGTAGGCAGTAAGTAGGTGAGAATCAAGTAGAATATTCACAACAAGGTGCCTTTCGAAGTCTCTTCACCAGAATCACACACCAATAATTCACGAAGACAGTCCAAGATAAGAATCGCCTCGGTTAACTCAAAATAAATCACATTGTAAAACAACATATTTTCGAAGTATCGTAAAACCACAAGTGGAAGCAGTGAGATCTAACAGGGATACAGAAAAATAATAAGCATGAAGTGAACATATGATATGCAATCGTCGAAACGATGATATAAATTGTAGGCGGTGAGTGGAAGCCGACTACAAAGTTAGTTCAAATATCCAAGTAAGTAGAGCAAGGGCCACTAGATAGCTCATGAGAAAACTTTCAAGAACTTATAGTGGTATTCGTTACATAAGATAAAGGCAATAACAAGACGTAATTTGTCAGAATCGTGTAATGTATTTGCGCCCACAACACATTTCGAACAATCTGATCCATCAAACACCGACTTGTCATAGGAATGTGTGTATATGAAATTAATAAAGAGGTAAGAGGTGAGGAAATAGACTACTTAGGTCAAGTTAAAAGGAGGACATATTCAAGGTCAAAATAACAATGAAGACCACTAAACCAAATAGCAGAGGTAATAGTACATCTGCTATGGCTGTTATCAAAACAAAATTTACCAAGGAAGGTTTAATGTGATGACGAATTGCTTTTCAACGCATAAATGTGACTTGAACTTTCTAATTGCTAGGGCTTCTACAAACTTTAGGATACGCCCCCAACACGTTTTATAGAAAGGTTTAAAAGATCTGTTAACATCAATTTTATGTCTTGTCTCTATAATATGCTTCGCAATAGGAGAGGTAGGTCTTCTGTTCTCACCGTTAATAGGTTCTGAAGATTCCATTTGTTTCTGGAGCCATTTTGCAATATGCTCTGAAGCCCTTACTTGCAGAGAAGGAAGAGTCATGCCTATGAATGTGTGTCAACGCGTACATTCAAACTGGTAAATACACTGGGATGTGACGGCATTTTTTCGCATGTTCGAAGGGCTTAGCTAGATATAATGGCTTTACATTCTCTATTACAAGTAAATTACTCGATTCAGACAAATTACGCCACTCGAAATCAGAACTAACTAATTCTTATTCGCTAAAACACAGATTAGATAATTCAAAATTAGATGATGAAGAAAAAAATGGTTAGTTTTGACATTGTCAGTTTATATACACGTATACCAATAAATATGGCTATAGAGGCGGTCAGAAACGAACTGATTTCTGACCAAAAACTCGAACTTAGAGCAAAAGTGCCACTTGAGGACATAATGCTGGGAGTGAAGTTTTGCCTAACTTCTACAGTATTTAAATTCCAAGGGAAAATATACAAACAAACTGAGGTGGTTGCCATGGGATCACCAATATCTCTAGTTGTAGCATATATATATTCATGGATAGGTGGGAAAAGATTGCGATTGAAACGTTCACCCCCACCCCAAAAGTATGGTGCAGGTATGTAGATGACACATTCACTGTACTTAGAACACAAGATATAGATAGATTTTTCGAGCATATCAACTCGAAGGTAGAGGCACTTCAATTCACTTATGAATTAGGAAGTCAGGAAGGGGGACTTCCAATGTCAGATTGCAACGTAAAAAGGAAAGAAGATGGGAAGCTAAACACTAGTGTTTACAGAAAGCCCACACATTCAAACAGATTTTTGGATTTCCGATCATACCATCCTATGTCAGTAAAAATAGGATTAGTGAAATGTTTAAATGACAGAGCACAAAAACTAAGTAGTGTCAAGGAAAATCTAAGACAGGAAGTGATACACATAAAAGAAACCTTGAAACTTAATAATTACCCGGATAAATTAGTCAAGAAATATGTAAGTAAATGTAAAAATAAAATAAATAATTATAGTAGCAATAGTGATAATAATAATAATGATAACAATAATAATGATAATAATGATGGTAATAATAATAGTGATAATGACAATATGAATGACGACACCAACAATAAGGATTCTAAATCATCAACAGTAATTCCAAACAAGGAAGGAACCTCGAAAGCCTTACGCGGAATACTTAACAAGGCAGGCAGGAATAAAAGTGGCTGGTATTCAAACCCACAAACTCAATTAGAAAGAAGCTTTGCCTGCTAGAGGATCAATCCTGTTGAGCCTTGAAAACAACACAATTTAGTTTATCTAATACCCTGCCTGCAATGATTGTCAGGTCAAATACATAGGTCAGACTAGTAGAACAGGGACAGTCAGTCAGACTAACGGAACATAAAAACCTAGCTAAATCTAGATTGGTTGACCCAAATAAGATAAGAAATCTAGAAAATAGTTCAACTATAGCACTACATGCAATTACACACAACCATACAATAGGATGGATGGGATAGGATGACAGTTTTAAAATCTAATGTCACAGGGTGAATGGAGGGAGAGATTGATAACAGAAGCTTTGTTCATCGAATCAACGGCAAATATATGTAATAGAAACGATTCAATACCTATCCCAGATATATGGAAAATTCTACTGGCCATATGACAAATAGGAGACGACAGAGAAAACTATAAAACTCAAATCTCAAAGTCGTGTGACCACAATTGATATGATTGTGAACAATAAATTGTGTTCGAAACGTCATCCAGTGTACAGTACTGTTTCACTGTGTGATACATCTAATAAACAAACTAATATGGAATTGCTTACTACCACAGTGCCCAAGTTTTACTCATATATTCAAGTATAGAATTTGTTCTGATAATCTTCAGTTTTCTGAAACGTGTCCTCTGTATAACAACTGTTGTTCGCATTCCTTCTTTTGAATTCAAGTTCAACCGTTGAATTACCAGTTGTTGATAATGTTTATTTCCGCTGTTGATGGTAAGCACGTTTTCAATTCGTATTATTTGATTTTATCATGTGACTTGAGAATTCATCATGACAACAGTTAAAGGATAATGAAGGTCTCAGAATGATCGTTTTCACCATTGTATTCCTCAAAGTCTCGGAAAGTGATATAATATCACTAAAGACAGTGTGGAGACTGATCGGCACGGAAACAGTGGAGCAGATATACTTAAGTGAAACTCCTTCTGATGTGTTCGGATGAAAATATTTCCAATGTGCGTTATACACTTGCATTCAGTGCTCTTACTCCCTGTTTGACAATTCATGCAAAATATTCTCGTCCCTCCACAGAAAATATACGCGGATTCAAACCGATCGTGGATGGTGCAGAACAGGCAGTACAAAATCTTACGGGTGAGTGAAACATGATGCCTTATTTTACACAGTGTTGAAACCTTGACCAAAATATGCCTTGAATTGTGCTTTCGAATTTATTACTGAATACAGCCATCATGTCATTTAGTATGTAGCACACAGTAACATGAATTAAATGCACGCCTCTACATATTGTAAACATTCGACGTTTTCGCTTCTCTCTTTTCCTAGACAAGATTCTCATTCAAAATGCAAGCCTACGAGGAGAAATAGAAACATGTAAGCAGCAAGTCGAGTTTATTGGAATGATGGACGATCTATTTTAGATGTGAACTGCCTGAAAACTGCAAACAAATACATTTGGGGAGAAATCGCGTTGAACAGTGAGTTTCACTAAATTCCTTTCATTCGAAATATAATTCTATACACGAAATTTGTTCACCACATTGAGTTTTAATCATTTAAGCGATACACTCCTTGTTGATGATTTGCTTTCTCACTTATCGTTTCAACAGTTAACGCTTATACGACTGCCGGGTGATGGGATTTTGCAAATTTGTCAACTAAAAATTGATTTGAGATGCTAAATATATATAAACGTTATCTATCTTTCCTAGAACTCGCAGACCGTGTCTCCAGAGGTAAGCTAAATATTTTGAATCATTTCTGTACTCATCTTTCACCATAGTTAATTCACGTCAATTTTCTCACTGACAGTCTTCACCTGGCTTCTATTCCCGCCATACTATCTCAGCTATAACTATTTCAGTCCTACCTCTATTTTTTGACGCTAAATAAAGATGGCGAATTACGTAATGCACTGAACATGTGGAGGCGCTCGAGGACAGTTGTTCGACTGATGTATTTCTCATTTCGGATATTCTCTGACAATTTGCCAACTAGTAAATATATTTTA